CAAAAACGAGAATGGTTAGATGTGAGCTAAAGGGTGGTGAAACTATGATGAAGGAATTGCGAGTGGCGTAAGGTCTATCTGCCGGAGTAAGAGATTTGATCAATGAGAGTTTAGGGCTGAAGTTAACACGAAGTTGGAAGCAGAGGCCCGGTTCGAATCTTCTAACCCAAAGAAATGTCATTTTCGCTAACTGACATCTCTCCGTATAGGAAATGAAGGATAGAGGAGAGCAAATATTTTTCGAGTAAACACTCTCTGTACATTTTCAACCTTACAACGGTCAGAGGCATTAAGTAGATCAAAGAGGGACGGCAGTATTCTAGGATGGGTAGAACAATCATGCGGTACAGTTTTAACTTTATTTCCAGAAGGCAGAAATTATGTGATACAAAACCACAGATCTGGGCAGCTTTCGCAGAAATTCGATCAGCATGAGACGATAATGTTTTTTATTTGTGTGACTTAGACCTTAGTCTTTTATGGTGGATCGTTCTAAAACTGGAGTATTTTGAAAGACTAGGGGACCAGGAAGCTTGGTGGAGCGAAAGCACATGAAACTACTCTTGGATGGCGGAAATTCCATCTGCTAGGTTGCACTCCAACGTTAATAAATAAAATAATCATAAATTGTATATTCAAGGCCCAGGAGGCCCTTTAATTACAAACTAAGTGCTGTCAAAAAAAATAAACACAAAGTTAGCATTCACAGCAGCCTGCAAGCATCTGTATAAGAACATGAAGGAGTACTATGTTATACGTAGTAAGATAGGAAGTGTGATCCGAACAAACATGCGGTATAGTTTTAACTTTATTTCCGGAAGGAAAAATTATGTGATATAAAATCACATATTTGTGCGGTCGTGGCAGAAATTCGATCTGCATGAGGCTATAATACAATCTAATTGGTGTAAGTTAGAACCAAATCCTTTATCATAGATCTTCTAAGCGTGGACTATTTTGGAAGATGATGGGTCCAGGAAGCTTTGCGGGACCAAAACAGTTTTTTGAAGATAATGGGTCCAGGAAGCCTTGCGGGACCAAAACACATGAAACCACATTTGGATGGAGAACACTCCATCTGCCACGTGACGCTCCAACGTGAGAACTTACGCAAGCCTGTGTTGACTTTACCAACGCAACTACCGCCCATGTATTTAGAAAATGAGTAAATGCACTTAAGATCATCGGCATAAATGAAATTTTCCGAGTTATTGAGTACTCTTGAAATTTCATTTATGTAAAGAATGAAAAGGAAGGGACCTAAACCCGTGCCTTGAAAAACTCCGCTCGTGATCGTCCGAGGCTTAGATTAGCTATTGCCTACTAAGACTTTTTGGCTGCGGTTAGACAGATAGGAAGCAATGAAATCGAGGAGAGGTGGCCTGATGCCTAGGGCTTCTAGTTTCACTGGAAGACGCCTGTGCGGTACCTTGTCATAAGCTTTGCTAAGGTCAAGGCAAATCACTATGATTGACTGCTGCACATTACGAAGTGAAGGAAGGAGGTTAAGAAAAGTCAAGTACCAGGTTTCGCATAATCTTTGTAGAGGATTTATCACTACAAATATACAAAACGTCTTAGCAAAAACGCA